ATGAATCAGTTGCGGTCGTCGTGCGCTCGTATCGCGGTTGCGTTGCAGCGTTGCCAAATGTTTGAGAAAATTTAATTATTTACGACTCACTTTCCTCGAACACGATTAATTTTCGGACATAAGTTATAATGAACTTTTTGCTTAGAATAATGCAAGGAATCACCTCTTAAAGTTACGAATATTATTTCCCTAACACCCTGTATATGTGAGGAAGAGTTGGAAAGAGTGCGCACACAAGTAATGAATTTGAAACCTTTATTTCATATAGATTATGTTACATATGATGGCTAAATCTTACATGTAAACGATAAAAAACAAATGCAAACGTATAATGCTTCTGTATATATTCAAAATATGTATTTCTTAGGAAAGGGGCGAAATACGAGGAGGATGGGGGACGTAGGTTAAAACCTTTTTACAGTAGTATTATTATCATTATGAGATATATTGCACAGGACGCTCGAATTTGGGTGGCTGGATGACGTCGCTGTCTTGGCTGGTTGACTGAATGATCTACATTGTTCAAAATCGGCTCAAATGGTTTTTCTTCTTCGGTATTTTGGAGAAATAGTACACAGAACGCTCGAATTTCGGTGGCTGGATTTCATATCGCTGGGTTGGCTGGCTGATTGGTCGATCTACTTTAAGTCAACGTTGGCTTTACTGATTTATCTTCTTCGGTGTTTTGGAGAAATTTCTTGTGCTATAATGTTTTCTACTGGCAAATCAACAACGTATAGGTTCCACAGGTAGGATCCAAGGGTGTGGTACTCCGTTGTGGTATATTTTGATTTCGGCATAGCTTCCTATAATTTTGATAACATTGTCAGGGATGTTTGTTGTAACTAATGAAGGGCACTACGAGTAATAGAGTCAACGCCTTTTGACTGGTCGGTAGTAACCGCTGCTATGTGAGGTCGTTGTCCAAGTGCATCTGTAATGACTTTAACTGTTCGGAAAAGTCAAGTTTGTGTTCCCTTGCTTTGACGAAACTACGCTGATATACTGGAATAATTTTAGTGATACTAGTTAATCACCACGTTGCTTACCAACAACTACGAGGAAGGTCATGTAGCACTCTGTCTAACATGTTGTACGCTTCTTTTTAACATGGTATATGCTTTCTCTTCCCTCGTAAGCGTTTGAGAAAGTGCTAAGGCGACTAAAGCCGGAGTCAATAAAGTACAGCGTATGGCATGTAGTAGTATAACTCCTTCCATCATAATTTTGAACGACGTACCACATTTTGTTAAAGTCTAGCCACCATTTAAAACTTGATGCTTGTTTAGGTACCATACAGTATCGCAGAAATGTGATATTTTCCAAAAGATTCATTTTGACAGAATAGTTTACCCGTGTTTAGGATTTACAGCCCAAAAGTTAGTGAAACTTTTAAAGGTAAAGCACATGATCTTATTTAAATAGCGAGAAAGTGCGAGTGCAACCAAAGCTTAAGTCAGAATCTTCCCAAGTCAGCCATGCGAATCACTGGAGGATCAAATGTTATGATACGAAATTAATAACAAACTAAGCATGCTGCTTTCGTCCATCCCACCGAAAACAGTCAACCATGGAGAGCTGTTTTGAGCTTTTTGGCAACTCATCAGCATGAACTAGGCCTTTTGTCTCGGACACGAATGAAAGCATAGCAACTACACACTATCAAAGGATTGGGACTATATACATCACTGAGATCTATGCAGTCCCAATTCCCTGTCCGCAATGGTCGATTGTAGTGATGACGCTTCGTGCTGTAATATTCTGAATAAGATCCTTTAACTACGTGATAACTTGCAGTGCTTGAGAATAGGTTATATACTATACATAGATATTTTCATAAAGTTATTAATATAATAATAATAATAATAATACGTCTTCAAACAACAATACAGGATAATCATAATAATAATCCCGTGTTAACACTAAATAGACTGAAAGTAAATTAAATTTCAAAAAGATATTAATTAATACTGGTCACTATACAATTTGGTTACTGGTTACTATAAAATTTGCTTATATACATATATTATCAACTTTAATCTCTATTCTAAAAAAGTTTGTTCAGATCTGTATTTAGCAAATATTTCTTATATTGTATTTTGAAACTTGAAAGAGAAAGATCAAGGAACAGGTTGGGAATTGAATTAAATTGTCTAACAGCACTGTAGGAGAATGATCGTTGAAACAATGCACTACTAGAAAGCGGCATAGTTAATTTTTTTGAATATCTTACATTTATATCATGAACAGAATGTCGGAAAACTAAGCGTTCTCTTATCGAATCAGGTGAACTTGGAGTGTTTATAATTTTAATAAAAAAACTAGAAAAATTGAGAGTGCGACGCTCATTCATTTTAAGCTACTTCATTTCTTTATACAAATGAGATATATGATCAAACCTAAGCAGACCATAGATAAACCTGACGCACACATTTTGCACCTTCTGAATCCGATCTCTACTTGCCTGATCTAAGCAAAACCCATAAACAAAATCGCAATAATTGAAATTGGAAAGATTAGGGATTCACACATTTGTTTTTAGTGATCTGTTTAGTACGTGTCTGTTATTATACAAAACTTTTAGAGAACAAAATGATTTTTGCATAAGATTTTTTAGGTGATCTTTAAATCTAAGCTGAGAATCTAAAACTATACCGAGATTTTTTGTAGTTTCAACAAAATTCAATTTTGAATTATTAGTCATTATATTGAGATTAGTTTTCATAACTTAGTCTTAGATTTGTTACCAAATATCATTACATGTGATTTTTCCTGATTAAGTTTAAGTTGTGACCTAATGATAGATTGTTCAAGGTGTTAATTTATACAATTTTCGTAATACTTGTAATCCTCAATATCAAAAAACAATAAACCTGGGTATCATCCGCGAACACCTGAACTTTACAAAACTTCAAAGACGTAAGGATATCAAATGTATAAATTAAAAATAACAAGGGGCCCAATATTGATCCCTGAGGACTCCCGATAGGATCTCCGCTTTGTCTGAAAATGTGTCATTTGATAGAATCAATTGATACCTTCCTGTCAAATATGATTTTAAAAGCAAACACGCTTCCTTATCAAAGCTATAGTACTGAAGTTTAGCTACCAACAATTCATGATTAATGGTATCAAAAGATTTTGAAAGGTCTAGAAGTACCAAAAACTGAACTCATCTTTTAATCATTTGCTCTTAATATGTCATCGAGTACGTTTGTTAGAGCCACTGATGTACCCAAATTTTTACGAAAACCACACTGAGTACCAGGAATAATATTGTTACTCATACAAAAGTCATAAATTTGTTCGTACATCACTCTTTCAAATATCTTTGACAAAGCAGGAAGTATACTTATCACACGAAGTTCGTTAAAACTTGATGGATTAGTTATTTTTGGTTATGGTTTTCCTATGGAGATTTTCCACTTGTCGGGAAAGTAGCTTGTTTCAATGGAACAGTTTATGTGTTATATACTTATCTATGTACGGACTACAATATTTTAATATTAAGGGCGAAATATCATCTATCCCGGTTGCATTACTTTTCATGTTGTTTAAATTTTTTTTTATATTTGTTATTTCTGCTAACTTAAAGTTAAAAGTTAAGTTATTTTAAAGGCATTGTTTCTTTATGATCAAAGTTTTTCCGAAGAGTTAGATTTCTTTTGTTGAAAAACAGCAAAAAAGCTATTAAAATCATTAGGTTTCTGATAGAGACTGTGGAATATCATTATTTTTTGTAGAACAGATACTAAAACTTTTTAAAAAATGACCTCAGTTTTTTGGAGTTACCTTCAAAAGATTATATGTATTACTTTTTCTCTTTCCTTATCAACGATAAAGTAAAATTTCTTAAATGTTTATAATCTACCCAGTCTGATTGGAACTTTGATTTTTTAAATGTTTGCAGTGCTGCATCTCTTTGTTTCATAAATAATTTAATATTGTTAGTTAACCAAGGCACTTTTGGTTCTGTTATTAGTGATTCTTTTATAGATGCATGCTTACTAAACAATGTGAAAATTAGATTATTCAAAATAGTTATTTTATCATCAAAATTATTTTCATATAACATATTATTCCACGGTAAACTTTGCTTATCTGCTAGAAAATTATTCAGGTTAAAAGAATGATGTTTTATTATTTTAGGTGATTTACTTTCCTTTGAAATATTAAGATCACAGTAAATCAATTTATGATCTAAAATACCGGGTTATTACAAAAGAATCATCGGGTTTTAAAAATATATATTTCTGAAGGTATTACAGATATAACAGTAAGTGATATGTCAATGGAAAGGTAAAATATTCAAGATTTTAAGCATGTTATTACAAATGTTCGATGTGGGCTCCTTGCGTCACACGACATATGTCCAAACGATAGTTCAGTTCGGCCCATACACGCTGCAATGTGTCTCGATCGATATTGTTAATAACAGTAGTAATGCGTTCCCGGAGTTGACCCAATGTTGTTGGCAGAGGTGGTATGTAAACCATATCTTTAATGTAACCCCAAAGGTAAAAATCGCATCGTGTAAGGTCGGGAGACCTGGGAGGCCACGAGAACAATACCAATCTTGTGCAGTACCTCGGCCAATCCAACGGTGAGGCAGAGCCTACTTTAAAAACCGACGCACCTCATGATGCCAGTGAGGCGGAGCTCCATCTTGTTGGTATATGAAGTTGTTAGAATCTTCTGTTAGTTGCGGAAATAACCACAAATGTAACATAGCTAGGTAGGATGAACTGTTCACAGTGTTTCCATGAAAGCAAAAAGGCCCGTACACTTTATTTTTGGATCCTGCACAGAAGTCATTCAATTTTGGAGAATCCCTTTCATGTTGCACAATCATATGAGAATTTTCCGTGCCCCATATCCGGATGTTATGATAATTCACCCTTCCACTTAAATGAAATGTCGCTTCATCGCTGAATACCAGACAGTTAGCAAATTTGTCGTTTTCCATTGCCTCCTGCATGTTAGAAGAAAATCAAGTCGCTTTACGTGGTCGTCAGATCGTAAGCTTTGTAGCATCTGTAGACGTTTCCGCAAAATTTTCCATACGGTTGGCCGGGGTATACCAGGTTCACTTCCTGCTCTGCTAGTGGAGTTTCGCGGAGAACGCGTGAAACTGTGTCTAACTGCGTCCACCATTTCGTCAGGAACTCGTGGTCTTCCGGTACATTTACGTTTAGTAATGGAACCTGTCTTCTTGAATTGTCGGTACCATTGTAGAATGCTCTGATGACCTGAAGAATCAGTTCCATACCGCCGTCAGAATGCACGTTGCACTATAACAACCGATAAACATCGCGCGTACTCTAACACACAAAACGCTTTCTGCTGCATAGTCGCCATTTTGTATACTGAGCTCGTGGCGCTACCTAGGGACGTAAAGCGGCGTCCGCAAGCACGTGCTTTAAACTCGAACATTTTCCTTTTCTAGTGATATGTCATTTGATATTATATTTGCAATACTCTCTGAAATATAAATTTTTAAAACCCGATGATTCTTTTGTAATAACCCTGTGTTATCCGCCGATAAAACCCCAGACCTAGCCACTATCGACAAGTTAGTGGCTAGGTCTGGTCAGTATTGATCACACTCTTCGCGGGTGCTCCCCACCAATGCAAATTTCTATTCACTGATCATTATTACACGATTTAGTTTAGTACAAAAGAGAAATATCAGCTTTCAAATGCCTTCAAACGAATTACTTATTGACCAATAGTCGGTTTATTTGATATGTTTGCCAGTCAGCTAGACAGACTGGCCTTAAGGTGTGAGACACAGACCTAAACGATACTAAAAGAGCATGTTCCTGCTTTGAGCGTCTATGAAAACGGATGTGCTGAGAAGAGGAAAAGGGGAAGGCTGGTGGTAATCCTTCGCTAGGGTTTCTGACAGAAAATCCCTTTTAAGCTCTCTCGTTGGTACCGAAGGAGGAAGGGAAATGAATATCCTAAATATAGGAGCAGCTTCGGTCGACAGATGTATGTGTGCTTGTACGTGATTTCATCCAGCAGTAAGTCTTT